CTGTCCAAAGTCAATCTCTGAGTCTCAGTTTCCCTCTGATTTCTTCTCTCTGACTTTCATGGTGTCTTATTCTTTCTTTCTGGATCTCTCCCCGATATATGTCTTGCTCTTAAACTGGATTGAGTCTGTTTTGGTCTCACTGTTTGAAGTAGACTATTGTCACTTCAGTAGTCTGTGACTGGCTGGTCCAAACCAATAACATCTCTTACCCCATTCCAGCTACTCCCTGATTTCCTGGTTTCTGCTCTTGCCTACTTCAGTCTGTTCTCCACGCTGAATCCAGCTTGATCCTGGTAGATCAGAAACTAGATTGTGACTCTCTGAGGTCAAATCCTCTGGTGTCTCTGAGTTCATGAAGGTGAAGTTCAGGGTCTTGACTGGCCCCCTCATCCCCAACTAACTCCCTGACTTCCACTCTCCTGTGCTCGAGGGGCTCCAGCTGCAATCAGGTCCTTGACATCCCCGGGACTCAGAGGAGCCTTCCTGCCTTAAGCCTTTGAACTCTTGCTTCCCCTAGACAGTCATATGGTTCTTGCCTCACCAACTTCAAAGCACTCTACTCATAGTAACAGCATCCCCACCATGTTTCTCCCCACTGGTCTCTGGTCTTCATTCATGGCATCTCTCTCCCTCTCTTGCTTGCTGTCTCTGTAGCTATCTGTCTCAGTCTCTCTTGCCTGTTTCTGGTTCATTCTTCTCTCCATCTCTCTGTCTGTAATTCCTGTCTTCTGTGTTTCAGTCTTCTCCGCAGTTAAACTGTCATTCTGCAGCAGGCTGACCCTGACTGCAACCCTGTCAGCAAAGCTCCGTAGAACACAAAGCCCTTAGGATGGGAAAGAGGATGTTAGACATCTCCTAACCTCTATCTCTATTTCTACTTGTCTCTCTCTCCTCCAATACTTTCTATGCCCATAAAGATCTCTAGTCTCAATTGTGTGATTAAATGTTAACAAAAGAGTTTTTAAAAATACAAACTAGAATAGGGTTCTTAGAAATATAAACTAGAATTGACTAGCACAGCAAGCTCTTCACTTCAAGAATTATGTATTCTATAGTCTCAGTCTAATCATAATATTTAGCAAGCAAATCTGAAGTGTTTTCTGGAATATGGTTAGGATAAATGATTGTAAGCAAATATCTCATTGCAATGCCTAATATTGACCATTAAATAACTGCTACTTATGTCACAGAAAGAAAGAAAACCAAAAAGAAAGATTTCCAGTCTCAGAAACCCACAGGGGCCATTCTCCCGAGTCCTAGAGGGTGGGTATGAGTTGAAATCTTCATAGCAGCAAGTTTGGTTTGGAAACATTCCCGCGTAGCCTGGAAGGGAAGGAAGACAGAGGATTCCCAGAGGGCAGCCAGGGGCTTCCTGTCTTGGCACAAATGTAGAAGTATGTGTGTGGGGGGTGGGGTAGATCCTCAGACATAATAGCAGCATTGGGTGGGGGTAGGGGCAGGAGGCCTTCAAAAAATCTGTGAAAGTTCTCCATTCTGTTTAACTCAATTTGAAGTCCAGGCTTCTGGTCAATCTCCTGTTTCTGGTTCCCCGGTTTCCCCACCTGTACAATGGGGTACTGCAGGAATTCCCAGGCAGGAACCCAGCTGCCCCTCCCCTCTGATTCCAGGCTGGCAGACATGGCCTCTGCCCACCTCGCCCTCTCTCGCCTTCTCAACGTCTCCTCCTCCAGCCCGTGGATCTGCTTCGGAGGCTCCTATGCTGGCTCCCTGGCCGCCTGGGCCCGGCTGAAGGT